GCCTCAGGGTCGACATTCATGGCAAGGAAACCTAATATACCAAGGTTACGATCCTTCAAAGTAACAGTCATTTCGTTCTGCCACGTGGTCAAAACTTGAGCTGCTTTGTCGATTGTCCAGTTCAGTTCAATCGTATAAACCTTTTCGGGAATAGGATAGAGTCGGAATTTAAAATCTACCACAACCCCAAAGTTACCTCCCGTTCCACCTTTGGTTGCCCAGAGCAATCCATCGGGGTCATTTCCTTCTGATGCCTTGACAATTGTACCATCCGCCGTGACCATCGTCACCCCGATAATGTTATCGCATGCCATTCCGTACTTTAGTGCCGTGTATCCATAACCGCCACCCATTGAAAATCCAGCTATACCGACGTCATCACAACCTCCGCCTTTTTTAAAAAAATTAAATCTTAATACATATAGTCAGACAGTCGAAAAGTTTTATCAAATAATAATACCTGGAGTATGAAGGTTATAGACTTGCAATTCAGTGTTAGCCTTTCCCCATCTGACTCCTGCCTGAAATATTGCTTCTTGGTTCTCAGCGTCAATAATGATTCCGTCCATGCCGGATACATCAATCACCATTCCGTTCTGAATAACAGAATACCCAGCCGTATTATGCCCTACAATAAAATGACAAGAACGTTTGAAAAAATCATGTCGAATTGTACTCGAGCCTCGTCTCAGGAAGTGAGCGTGCTTACCGCCAGCCCTGACGCACACCTTGATCCATGGATCCATCTTTGCAAATTTAATGGCATTCACGACATCACTTACGCAGCGACAGTAGACGACGAGCAACGGATAAGTTTTGAACGCTCGGTCAGATTCTGCACGTGCCGTATCATAAGAGGGACCATCAAACGGAGTGATGACTTGAGGAGAATCATCGGATACACCATAGATCGAATTTTTAAAACTGTCATATTGTTCATTGGAACGTCCCAGCAACTTGAGGAAATCTTCCCATGTTGGAGCCAAGGGATTGACAACTTTGCGAAGAGGGTGATATAATTTTCCGAATGACATTATTTTCCGGTCGGCCACATTGAGAAGATATATCGATATACCGTATATGTATCTTCTTTTTGGGTAACATCCACTTTAAAATCCTAGAACGGTCCGTCCCTTTTTTGATTAGCTGTTGTGTCGTGTCGGGAACGAACTAAACAAGAATTTGTTTGTCGCGCCCTGATGTTTCACTATTACTATTCCCGGTGGTACTTTGTCATCGTGTGATTGTTCTATTGTTTAACTTTACCTAATCTCGACATTCGTCTTGCTCAGCCATGACTTGACATTTTCTTCTCCAGGTTCGTTATCCTGAAGAATCTGTCATAGATTGTATGTGAAACTTCTGCGTGCACAGTACATTCTGATGTCACTCGATGAGGGTACGGCTGAATGAGGCTAGAATGTGCAGTATACATACGCTGCGCACATAACAAAGCTAAACATCTTCCAAATTAACTAAACAAAGATTTCAAGTGATGTTACTACTAAAGAGCGTAAATTTGAAATGGCATATTAAATCGTTGCAAAATATTAATCAGGAAATTCATACCATTTTGAAAATAAGATCGTGAAATCCGATGTTTTGAAAAGGGGGCATAATGCGGAAAGGAAATTGATTGTCTATTGTTTTTGTCATCAAGTACGACACAGCGACCCCCACATTTTTTCCGCAAATCTGGATCGTGATTGGCTAACAGTTAATTTTCCATAAAAAGGGGTCGTCTAAAGCGGGGGCAACACAAGAAATCAGTCCAATTAAATTTGCGAAGTTAACCAATCTAAATACAATGTAATAGTAACATATAAAATTCAAAACAAGCCAAAAAGAAGAAAATTCATAAATAACTCAAAATTTCACTATGATAACTAGCCTTTGACTTCTAATACTAAGTAAAAATGTTCAGCATGAAATTTTACTCATGTATATTAAAGGTCAATAACTTAATTAACAAATTGTTATTGATTTGATGATTTCATGTATTTGCCCCATCCCCCATAAAAAGTAATAAAATTGAAATTCAAGTTTCCTGAAATGTGATCCATTTGATAAGTCTAATACTAACCATATTACTCACCATAGCACTCCATTAGTATCTGCCAGTACTCAAAATAACCCAGCTTCCAAGTCTTAATCTTGCTGCGTGTGTCTTTTACTTTCCATAGTTAATTAGTCCTGGCATATGTAAGTAAGTATCAATAGCGATAGTAATAGTCACAAAATTCCATTTATAGCAGTTTTCAAAATTATAGAAACCCCCTGAAATTTTACACACACTTGACTGCGAAAATTTTCGAAAACTCAACAAAGTCTCTACAAACTTCTGTGATTATTCGCTGGCACTCAATACTTAACAGCTTCCTGTACAGTTTCAGTATCAGTTACTCTTTTGGTACATACGAGCAGTCTTAGTGCTAGCTTTTATATTTATAGAGAAGAGAATTTTTGATTACTGGGCATTTACTGGGCGTTTACTTGTGATTATTGACAATTGCTGGGCATTACTTGATGATTACAGGCGAATGCTAACGAAAGTTGTTGTCATTTAGCTATTGTATAGGGACAACATGGTCAAGGATATTAGTGAAGATTTATGTTGAAGCATAGTTTATCTCCATTACGATGGCTTTTCTCGTAAACGGATTTGCCATAGTTTGAACGTTATGGAATCCCTTCAAGGGGTGCGTGGACATAGAAAGATTCTTGATCGTAACCATATGGCATCACTCGGAAAAAGTATTTCATCACACCTTCAATACTCTCAACTTTGGCCTTTCAGGATCAGCAAGAAGACAACCAGTGAGATTAGTAGGTGTTTCATCACTGGTGTCTCACCACACTCAATGATGGATTTCATGAGTGGCTTCAATTTTGTGACAAATGTCTCACACAAGAAGACACTCTCTGGGCTTCACAGTCTTGATGATGAGGATGTACTTGCAACTCTGCAATTATCAATTATGTGTGGTCCAGATGAAGATGAAGTCCAAGAACACTCATATATTAATATGAAATGACACTTTGGTAATTATTGCTTCTCCCAGCAATTTTAACACAAATGGGTGCTTGCAATATCTTGAGTGTGTGCATGATGTCCAGGATTGCTTTTCTAATTCAGAAGTGTCCAGGCAAGTGTTGCTGATGTTGGCCTCTTCACCTGTTTATGTTGCAACAATAACAAGCATTTTTGAGCAGAGCCTGGAAGATTACTATGCAACAGATTTTTGGAAGGATTGAATGCTCAAGACCAAGAGTTTTCTATCACAGAATTTGATTAACAGTAGGATCAAGAAGGTTTCTACATTAACATGGAAACATACTAATAGTGCTGTAATTCTTTAATTCCATAGTAATAGTGGATTTGATGTAAATTAGTTTCATATACATATTATATTTTTTATATTAATATATGAATAATTCTATATTAATTAATATTAATATTAATTCTGCTATAGTTTATATTCATCACATTCTGGTATGATAAAGGGAACATTAAATTAACAAGCCCATAAGTTACTTTTCAAAACATCATCAGTCACACTGGTCAATTTTACAGCCACATCATAAGCCTCTCATTTATGTCACATAATCAAATGTTCACTTTGTCTGGTTTTGTTGCAGTCTACCCCATATAACCAACTGTTTTTATTACTAAGTGTAATGTGGAATATCTTGGAGAGAGACCTGAACCATCATTTTGGTGACCAGCTCTCTGTTATCAGAAGGATTTCCTCATTTGATCAAGTCTTTTATCCTTGGTTCCAAATAAGAGCACAACAATAAACAAACCAACATTATCATTTTCAACAAAATCTTTGATGGCCATTTGAAAAGCATTAGAACTTTTGTCAAGGCTGGCACAGAGTTGAAGAACATGCTCAATGATTGTTTTGGTTACAACAGCATTTGGTATGCAAAGATGGCCCTGTTGGTCTGCAAATGTCAATGCTCCAAAGTAAAACAGAAATGATTTTAAGAATGTGACACTCTTACTCTGACTGTCAATGTTGGCCAGGTCAAGTAATCACATGTTAAGATGACTCTACATTGGATGCTGGCACTTGGGACATTTCATATGATGAACTCTGGGATGAGTTCTCACTATCTGACTTGGGCACTGACATTGTAAAGAGCCACCTTTGTTCATCACTAATAATATTAATCAAAGAGCCTATTGAAACATACAAACAACCCATGCATGACATCAAATATAATAATAAATATTGATGATAATAATAATATTGAGCCACTGATAGTCAAATGCTAACAATGCTGCAAAGGGCTTAGAACCATTCATTCATTTCTGCAGCTGATGAATTGCTACAACTTGTGAGAATACTTGAACGTATGAACATTTGAACATTACATCAGTCTAAAGTCTGCTGTGCTGGTGTAATCTTTCAATAATAATTAACTAATATTTGTGCATCCAATGAAATGCTGACTGTCTGTAAATGCATTCCTCCCTAAATGCATGCTCCAGCTCATACTATACCTGACAGCATGCATTTATGGAGGGTTGACTGTATGTTTTCCCATCCTAATTCTGAAGTTTTAATGTACAAGTATTGAGAACATGCACAACTTGCCTCCACTAAAAAGGTTATTTACTTTGTGCTTGATGTACAGTGTGCACGAAAATAGCTTTAGATTGACGTTTCGTAAATGCATAATGGTAAGAGAACATAAAACTTTACAGACATCTTTTTTAAAATGTTTTAATTATCCATTTACGGATTTTTTTATGCTAATTATAATGTAGAAAACAAAAAAAGTTAAATTTACCCATCGAGTTATTATTTTTTTTTTTGCAATTTTGATTGTGTTAGT